ATAATTATAATTAATAAATAATAATTAAATTCATTATACAGACATTTAAAAATGTCATAGAAATTATAATTTAAACAATAAAATGCAAATAATAAGCATAGAGTTCAAAAATATCCATTTGGAATATTGAATATTATATATATTAGTAAACGCATAAAATGTCTCTAAAAATCTCTAAATTTATTAAAAACCTGCTTAAAATGTTCAAAATGTATCAAATCATATAAATACAAGGCGATTATATTGCAATAACAAAGATAAATAACATTTGTAATATAATAGAAAAAATGGATTAAAATTTTTCTAAGTTGATGAAGGTGTTCGTGTAATAATTGGAAAATTTCTAAGTTAATGAACGTGTTCTTGTAATGTTCCCTTATATTGGGGCGTTGTCGGAGACACATACCCAAGGTTGTACATATATATGGGGTGGTCGGCTGACCGACTGCTAGTACTAAGGTTGCACAATGACTAGTCCTATATTAGGGACTTAACATAGTAAGGTCTGACGAACCAAAGCATTAATATAGAAGGTCTCTATGATGCATAAGCATTATGATAGCAGAGTTATGACTTGAAGTCCCATATGAATAAGACATACAGTAGTATGGTCTATGAAATAAAGCAAATATGTGGAAGGTCTCAAATATGTAAAAGCATTATATTGAAAGAAATGGGACTTGAAAAGGATTATTATAGTGGCGTGTAGGTTGCTTCGCAGCCTCTGAGACCGAGGTAAACTTGGACTCACTAACCGATGTGTCCTAGACATATCATCTTAGTGCCGGTGGTAAGCGGGTTTGTTGTAGCAATACGACTTGCCCGTGGACGTCGCACACCCCTACCGGTTGTGGGCGGCGTCTTAGCGCATAGCGTTATGATACGTCGGCTATCTTTCGGATTAGGGTGAGTGTGTTTGGTAGTACTTTTAAGTGCATCAAGCATACTCAACTTCATGTCTTAGTGCAATAGCGCTATGATACGTGGAGTTTTGGCTACTGACGTCTTAGTACCGTACTACTATGATACGTCGGTGGTATTTTTAGTTAACAACATTATCAAATTTTGTTACCAAAGTCGATAGGGATCATGTGGGTGTGTTGTGAGGGGGCGCCATCCGTATGATAGTTGCATTGATGCTTACTGCTACTTGCAGTATTGCGTCTTGTGATGGATCTGCGGGTGTACTGCACCTGATTCGATGCATCTTGTGGTTCTGGTCGATGGAGGTATGCGGGTGGTGATGTCTGCTGGGACTGTATGGGGGACCTTGGGATGGTGTAAGCCCGACGATAGTCGTATTGATGCTTGTTGCATTCTGTAGCATTGCGTCTCTACGATGGTTGTTTGGCGGGTCGCTATTCTCAATGGCGCTCTCTGCGTCTTGGTTTGACTCACAACCTAAGTAGCTTTGCCCAAGTCGGGTCCCTTCATTGCGGGGCTGCAGACTGTCTGCCCTCCATGATGTTTTATATAACAACTTAATAATATATCTCTATAAAGTTCCCACCTTTGAGAGATTGAAGGCAACTTGTTGGTGGGTGAGACAAACATGATCGAAAAATGCATATACTCAACGTCAGTGACACAAACCCTTTCTGATGGCGAATTATTACTATTATCTTATAACTGCCTATTGGCTATATCTGCCATTGTATTGGTTGGTGGAGCATATGTGTCGACCTCATGCGGGTGGTAGCATATGTGTCGACCTCATGCGGGTGGTAGCTGGAGGGAGAATCTGAGGAGGCTCTCAAGGCTGCGGCCGAAAGCCGCGCAACGTGGGACCCCATTCCCTTGAGGTGAGCGGTAGACTCATGACACGCTCTGCGGCCAATTGGCCGTGCTGACCATGCAATTGGTGGTGATGCCTTACACTTACATCACGTCTGCAGGAACGGCGGTCTGGCAGGTGGTGGCGCTCACGGAAGGCTTTTTATGGTCAGTGTGCCGATTGTTGCCTAACCCGTGTGACGTACATTTCACTGTGGCTGGATTTGATCGTATTCTGTATGGCGTTTACACGCATTGACATGCGCGACTTCGGTCGATGTTTGTGCTTACGCACTATCAAGGGGCCAAGTCCTCTTTTACTGGTTCGCCAGTTATTTTGCTGTGGACTACGGTCCAGTTCCCAACTTTGCGTACCCTTCGGGGGGAGCGCATTAAAATGGTTGGCGCTCACCGTGCGCGGCGTGTGTGGGGCCGTGTACCTCCTCCACATTTTTTTTAAAATGTGGGAGAGCGAAGCCCTTGTAACTGGTATTTGATATAAATATTGTGAGCCTTTTCCAAGCGGGAAGGGATTAATTAATAAGGAATTGACTGTTGTGAACCAGATACAAGTGGAATAGGGACAATTTATTGTTCTTAACCTTTTTGAGCTCTGTCTTCGTGAACGGGGTTCTTTAGCTTATAAGACTCTACCAACAGCTTTCGATTGCTCTCGTGAATATTCATTCTTCCAAGATACACCTAAAAGAACTAAGTTACTATACAAACACAACGTAAAAAAGGGTCCTAACTAAGACGATCACGCCATAAATTTATTAAACGGCCTATTTATTTAAACCTTTAGAAAGATCAAGTTATACTGGTCACGTAAATTAGATGTATTTATATATCTTACAGATATAGATTCTAAAGAAATACAAGTATAAGTGGGATATAGTAGAAAAGAAAAAAGATGGGGGGGGGGGGGATTCGTTACAATTTGGTGCCGTGACCAGGATAGAGGTTAAATTTTAAATAGGAGGCCGGTAATATAAAATTATGAGGTAGGCTATATGCCTACAATTTGTTGTCCGTGAAATGGAGAGGTGTCTTGGAGAGTGGTGTTTGCTGGGGGTGGTTGAGAGTCTGGGGGTGGGGCTTAAATATTAAAATTGAGTAATAATATAGGAGGTGTGTGCATAACGGAGCGAAATAATAAAAGTGAAATAAGTGGAAAGACTCAATTAAACTAAGTGAAGGACACAACAGGTGTAAAAAAAAAAAAAAAAAAAAAAAACTGCAATACTATATATTATAAAGTGAAATAAGTGGAAAAACTCAATTAAAGTAAGTGAAGGACACAAAAAGTGTAAAAAAAAAAAAAAAAAAAAAAAAAAAAACAAGTGGTAATAAAAATTAAAAATGGCTAAACATAAGAAAAAATCAACCTCAATTAAGGCTAAGCCTAAAGATGAGATGAAAATGCTTCAGAAATTAATTAAGAATGCAGTGAAAACCTTTGAGGTTAAAATAAAGGATCTTGAGGAAAAATTTATTAACCAAACGAAAGATTACCAAATTAAAATAAATCAAGGAGAGGTGTCCGGGGCGAGCACCTCTCATGTAAATGATCCTAGACAAAATATTGTATATAATGTACATAATGTAACAATAGAAAAGCCGAAATTTGGAAATGGAAATACTCATCCAGTATCATTTTTGGAAGATCTCACCAATTATTTAAAGAAAGTTCCATCTAATGGTCTCGAAATTTCGATAGCACAAGAGTGCTTAGTAGGTGAAGCCAAGTGTTGGGCTCGCATTAATAATGTGCGTTGGACAACTTTTGATGATTTTAAAGCTGACTTCCTTAGAGTGTTTTGGGGTGAAGAAGAACAAAATAAAGTAAAGAGATTCCTTGTGCAAAATAAATGGAATAGAAGTACACACCCCACCATGGTTGGTTATTTTCTTTATGTTGTTGAGAAGGCACAAACATTATCATATCCGATACCTGAAAAACAATTAGTAACTGATGTCATCAGACATTATCCTAAAACTGTGCAGCAATTATGGAGAATAGCTAAAATTGAGACAATAATAGACACGACAGATTTCTTAAGAAACTTAGATGACATCGACAAACAAGATGAAGGTCGTGAACCTTACTATAATGAGAAAAGGAGGAAGTTTAATAATAATACGGAGCAAAAACATAAAGAAATACAACAATCATACAAAACATGGCGTAAACCCTAAGAGGGAAAAAAGAAGGTTAATGAAGTACATGAAATACATTTCACTAATGACCAACCTGATGTTACGGCTCATGAGCCAAATTTAGAGCTGTAGAGGTTGAACTAGTTCCCGATTCGACCCCTTACAATGTAAAAGGGAACAAAGCATTAAATATGTTATTAAAACTGGGTTGGCGACCTGGTCAAACATTTGGTAAAAACAATAGAGGGTTGCGAAAACCTATTACTTTAAAAGCAAATTTTAACAGAGAAGGCCTTGGTTATAACGACAATGTAAATAGCATATTAAACACCTTAAAAGCCAGGTCGGACTTGCCCATAACGGAGTTATTCGTGCAAACCGTCTTCGAGGAAGACGAAGATAAATATCAAAGGGAATTTATAGGGAATATGAGATCTGAAATTAAAGTTTCAATATTTGACAAAGAAATAGACGCGCTCCTTGACACTGGGAGCGATGTTACATGCATTTCAGAAAGTTTATATTTACAAATTAAAGATAATAATCGTAAAATATCAATAATGCCAGTTAAAGCAATGCAAATAAAAGGTGCTGTTGGGCAGCGCAGCACAAAAATACAACAGATGATCATATTGCCTATAAAGATAGATGAAGTAGTCTTTGAAACACAAACTTTAATTGTAGGTAATTTAATAAGACCTTTAATATTAGGCTTTGACTGGCTCAAGAGAAATAAAATATTGATTGATTTGAGAAATACTACTGTTGGAATAGAATTTAAAGTGAAAAACAAAGACTACTTTATACCTTTCAAATATAATAATAAATCTGTATTACATAATAACTGCATCAAACAATGTACCGATGATCCCTTAATAAATATAAAAATAGGATCTACATTGGAGGTCTCTGAAAGGGCAAAACTTAGTAAGGTTTTGGAAAAGCATAAGAATATGTTTTCGAGCAAATTGGGAAGAGCCAATTGCTATGAGCATAAAATTGAAATGATCGATGATGAACCTATAGTTACTAGGTCCTATCCCATTCCATATGCATATAGAGCGAAAATGGAAGAAAAGTTAAATGAAATGGAACAAGCTGGTATCATCACAAGGACATCAACGCCTTACAGTAGTCCATTGACATTCACTCTTAAAAAAGACGGCTCAATTAGAGTTCTGCTTGATGCCAGAAGCATAAATAAGAAAATGGTTGCAGAAACAGAGAAACCACCTATACAATTAGATATTTTGAATTCATTTCACGGAGCGAATTATATCACTACCATTGACTTAAATAATGCATATTTTCAAATTCCGATAAATAAAGATGGTAGAAAATATACTGGATTCACATTCAATGGAAAGTCATATGTATATAATGTTTTGCCGCAAGGATTAAAAACATCAGTAGGAAGCTTTAGCAGAGCCATGAATTTAATATTAGGACCAGAAGTCCAAGAATTTTGTGTGAACTATTTAGATGATCTAGCCATTATTACAACAGGAACGTTAGATAAACATTTGGAGCACATTGATATTGTTTTAAGTAAATTGAACAAAGCTGGCTTAACGTGTAACTTGCAGAAATGTGAATTTATTTGTAAAGAAATTAAAATGCTGGGTTTTATAATTTCAACAGAAGGCATAAAGACAGATCCCGATAAAATTCGAGCGATCCAAGAGTTTCCAGCACCTAAAAAGATTAAACAATTAAGGGCCTTTTTAGGTCTATGCAATTTTTATAGAAGGTTTATACCAAATTACAGCGAGAGCATAATACCGCTCTGTGAATTACTTAAAAAGGGACGAAAGTTCCAATGGAGCGGTAAAGAACAGAAGGCATTTGATTTTATAAAACAACAATTTATTAATACAATACAATTGCATCATCCAGACTTTAATAAGCCGTATTATTTACAAACAGATTGTTCCGGTGTGGGTATGGCCGGAGTACTATATCAGATAGATGATAATAATGAAATGAGAATTTTAGGCTATCATAGTAAAGCCTTAAAAGGCCCCGAATTAAATTGGTCTGTTACTGAACAAGAGTTTTATGCTGTAATAAGCTGCCTAAAGAAATTTGAAACATATTTGAGGGGCAGTAAAGTAATAATACTAACTGATCATAAAGCATTATTGTTTATTAATAATATGAAGTTATTCAATGGTAGAGTAACCCGATGGATTTTGTATATAGAACAATTTAATTATGAAGTACAGCATATATCGGGTAGACGTAATATTGTTGCAGATGTGCTATCACGTTATCCTCCTGATGGCGATTTAATACAAGAGGATAAAAATAATAGTTTAGAAATTGCTTACACAGAGAGCGAACCGAATATTGAGTTGATAGAAAAATTAAAATCCTTACCAGTATATCAATTACAAGATTCAGAGTCGTTGGCTATTATTAAAAAGTTAAAGACATTAAATACTTCCATAATAAAACAAAACAATAAATTTAAAAGGTATAGTTTGAAAAATGATGTATTATAATATTACAAAACGAATTTACAAGAAGTAATATATTTACCTAAAGCATTGAGACAAGATACTATAAATCAAGTGCATGTCGAAATGGGTCATCAAGGACCCTATAAGGTAATTAAATATGTGAGAGACAGATTCTTTTGGAAAGGTTTAACAAAAGATATTAAAAACCAATTAAGGGCTTGTCATTTATGTCAGTTATCTAAGAAAAGCAATATAACATATGTAGGTCCCTGCAAATCTATAATAACAGAAAACATTGGCGATATAGTCATGGCAGACTTATATGGACCACTTGTATCAGGTACCTTTGGGTACACTTTCATATTTGTCATTCAAGATTCATTCAGTAAATTTATCAAATTATATCCTTTAAAACAGTCAACAGCAAAGTCTGTTGTAACAAAAGTAAAGCATTTTGTTGAGATTATAAAGCCCAAGGCAATAATGACAGATAATGGAAAACAGTTCGTAAGTAATCACTGGAAACAATCAATGAGTGAATTAAATATAAAGCCAATATATACCACAGTTAGAAATCCTAGACCAAATACAACAGAGCGAGTAAATAAAGAGTTGAGCAGATTATTTAGGACGCTTTGTCATACTAACCACAAAGATTGGGCGTTAATATTGCCGAAATTAGAAGAATTGTATAATAATTCTTATCACAATAGTACAGGCTTCACGCCTTGTGAGATTCTTTATGGTGAGTCTAATGAGATGTCTTTTGACAAAGTAATTTCCAAAAGTAAAGACAAACATAATGTCGAACAAATTAGACAACAAGTGCGTAAAAATTTAAAAGAGGCAAGTCGAATAAGAAACACAAAATTTGATAAGCGAAATAGATTAATAAAATATAATATTGGTGACTTAGTAAAAATTTCAAGATATAGTAGATCAGACGCTGATAATAAAGTTATGAGTAAGTTTAATTTGGCATATGAAGGACCTTATGTAATAGCAGCCGTACCATTTGACAATGTATATACCTTAGCAAATCCAGAGACTTATTAAAATATTTTAAATAATAATTTCTTTTTGTATAAATTAGAGTAATTAAATAAATATTGTAACATAAAAGGGTTTTGTGGGTGGCCCATGGAAATAATTGTTTAAGTTAAAGGTCTAAAATTATTAAAGTTATGAGCAAGAGATTTGTTATATGATAGAAGAACGTTATTAATATATAATAAAGAGTTGTAAATATAGATCGTAAGATAATTTTGTAATCATTTTTATTAAATAAATATGGGATTTGGGTCAGGGTGAATGGCTTAATCACATTTATCCTATGTGGTATCGAACTGACCTCAACAAATATCCAAGTGGATGGTATACACATAAAGTGTGATACTATCGAAATAATGTTTCAAAGATTTAAAGATAAATTAATAAAATAAGAAATCGACAATTGACTACAAACTTTATTAACAACACGATATACAATAACTTGAATTATGGTGTTAGCACATTGTGATAATTGTGGTTGAAGGGGTGTTGGTGGTGGCCATCCTCTGGGGCAGGGGAATTTGATAACATATGCCGTATTGTAACAGATTAAAAGAGAAAGAACAGATATATCAACAATTATTTGAGTGTAGTGAATATGCTCTCAAAATACTAAAATTTTATATTAACGACTCCACTATGTGGATCATTAACATAAAATTTGGGGGTGGATTGTGACGCCTCATAATTATAATTAATAAATAATAATTAAATTCATTATACAGACATTTAAAAATGTCATAGAAATTATAATTTAAACAATAAAATGCAAATAATAAGCATAGAGTTCAAAAATATCCATTTGGAATATTGAATATTATATATATTAGTAAACGCATAAAATGTCTCTAAAAATCTCTAAATTTATTAAAAACCTGCTTAAAATGTTCAAAATGTATCAAATCATATAAATACAAGGCGATTATATTGCAATAACAAAGATAAATAACATTTGTAATATAATAGAAAAAATGGATTAAAATTTTTCTAAGTTGATGAACGTGTTCTTGTAATGTTCCCTTATATTGGGGCGTTGTCGGAGACACATACCCAAGGTTGTACATATATATGGGGTGGTCGGCTGACCGACTGCTAGTACTAAGGTTGCACAATGACTAGTCCTATATTAGGGACTTAACATAGTAAGGTCTGACGAACCAAAGCATTAATATAGAAGGTCTCTATGATGCATAAGCATTATGATAGCAGAGTTATGACTTGAAGTCCCATATGAATAAGACATACAGTAGTATGGTCTATGAAATAAAGCAAATATGTGGAAGGTCTCAAATATGTAAAAGCATTATATTGAAAGAAATGGGACTTGAAAAGGATTATTATAGTGGCGTGTAGGTTGCTTCGCAGCCTCTGAGACCGAGGTAAACTTGGACTCACTAACCGATGTGTCCTAGACATATCATCTTAGTGCCGGTGGTAAGCGGGTTTGTTGTAGCAATACGACTTGCCCGTGGACGTCGCACACCCCTACCGGTTGTGGGCGGCGTCTTAGCGCATAGCGTTATGATACGTCGGCTATCTTTCGGATTAGGGTGAGTGTGTTTGGTAGTACTTTTAAGTGCATCAAGCATACTCAACTTCATGTCTTAGTGCAATAGCGCTATGATACGTGGAGTTTTGGCTACTGACGTCTTAGTACCGTACTACTATGATACGTCGGTGGTATTTTTAGTTAACAACATTATCAAATTTTGTTACCAAAGTCGATAGGGATCATGTGGGTGTGTTGTGAGGGGGCGCCATCCGTATGATAGTTGCATTGATGCTTACTGCTACTTGCAGTATTGCGTCTTGTGATGGATCTGCGGGTGTACTGCACCTGATTCGATGCATCTTGTGGTTCTGGTCGATGGAGGTATGCGGGTGGTGATGTCTGCTGGGACTGTATGGGGGACCTTGGGATGGTGTAAGCCCGACGATAGTCGTATTGATGCTTGTTGCATTCTGTAGCATTGCGTCTCTACGATGGTTGTTTGGCGGGTCGCTATTCTCAATGGCGCTCTCTGCGTCTTGGTTTGACTCACAACCTAAGTAGCTTTGCCCAAGTCGGGTCCCTTCATTGCGGGGCTGCAGACTGTCTGCCCTCCATGATGTTTTATATAACAACTTAATAATATATCTCTATAAAGTTCCCACCTTTGAGAGATTGAAGGCAACTTGTTGGTGGGTGAGACAAACATGATCGAAAAATGCATATACTCAACGTCAGTGACACAAACCCTTTCTGATGGCGAATTATTACTATTATCTTATAACTGCCTATTGGCTATATCTGCCATTGTATTGGTTGGTGGAGCATATGTGTCGACCTCATGCGGGTGGTAGCTGGAGGGAGAATCTGAGGAGGCTCTCAAGGCTGCGGCCGAAAGCCGCGCAACGTGGGACCCCATTCCCTTGAGGTGAGCGGTAGACTCATGACACGCTCTGCGGCCAATTGGCCGTGCTGACCATGCAATTGGTGGTGATGCCTTACACTTACATCACGTCTGCAGGAACGGCGGTCTGGCAGGTGGTGGCGCTCACGGAAGGCTTTTTATGGTCAGTGTGCCGATTGTTGCCTAACCCGTGTGACGTACATTTCACTGTGGCTGGATTTGATCGTATTCTGTATGGCGTTTACACGCATTGACATGCGCGACTTCGGTCGATGTTTGTGCTTACGCACTATCAAGGGGCCAAGTCCTCTTTTACTGGTTCGCCAGTTATTTTGCTGTGGACTACGGTCCAGTTCCCAACTTTGCGTACCCTTCGGGGGGAGCGCATTAAAATGGTTGGCGCTCACCGTGCGCGGCGTGTGTGGGGCCGTGTACCTCCTCCACATTTTTTTTAAAATGTGGGAGAGCGAAGCCCTTGTAACTGGTATTTGATATAAATATTGTGAGCCTTTTCCAAGCGGGAAGGGATTAATTAATAAGGAATTGACTGTTGTGAACCAGATACAAGTGGAATAGGGACAATTTATTGTTCTTAACCTTTTTGAGCTCTGTCTTCGTGAACGGGGTTCTTTAGCTTATAAGACTCTACCAACAGCTTTCGATTGCTCTCGTGAATATTCATTCTTCCAAGATACACCTAAAAGAACTAAGTTACTATACAAACACAACGTAAAAAAGGGTCCTAACTAAGACGATCACGCCATAAATTTATTAAACGGCCTATATTTAAACCTTTAGAAAGATCAAGTTATACTGGTCACGTAAATTAGATGTATTTATATATCTTACAGATATAGATTCTAAAGAAATACAAGTATAAGTGGGATATAGTAGAAAAGAAAAAAGATGGGGGGGGGGGGATTCGTTACACAGCGTTCGGGAAATTACGGCACATCTTCTCGTCAGGTATACCTCAAAACTTGAAAACGAGACTGTACACTCAGTGCGTGTTGCCAGTGTTAACATATGGAACTGAGACGTGGTCCTTCACTGCTGGCCGGATGAGGAAGCTCAAGGTCGCTCAGCGAGCTATGGAGAGGGCTATGCTCGGAGTTTCTCTGCGTCATAAACTCAGAAATGAGGATATCCGCAGTAGAACCAGAGTAACCGACATATCCCAACGGATTAGTAAGCTGAAGTGGCAATGGGCCGCCCATATAGCTCGAAGAACCGACAACCGATGGGGAAGAAAGGTTCTAGAGTGGCAGCCTCGTACCGGCAGGCGAAGTGTAGGGCGTCTCCCCACTAGATGGAGTGACGACCTGGTAAGATATGCAGGAAGTCGATGGATGCAGGTGGCTCAGGACCGTGCTTTGTGGCATTCTTTGGGGGAGGCCTATGTTCAGCAGTGGACTTGTGAAGGGCTGTAATGATGATGATGATTGATGTTAAAACCATCAAGATACAAAAAGTGCAACCCGAGTGACTTTTCTTCAATTTTATATAAACAAAATACGAAGAAACTTTTTCCCCGACCTATAAGTTGGATTTATGTATGTATAAATATACTTATACGTCTTGGACTTTATGGAGTGACCT